AAATAAAATAAAATAAAATAGCCATCTATTTGCAATAAAATAGTCACCAAAAATCTGCAATTTTTTGCATTTCTTTAATTTAAATTATTTTACATTAAAATTTATTGTATATCTCCTTTATAAGCATATGGTCTGTGGAAGAAAAAGAATATATTTTCTCTTTTGTGTTAGCTTCCTTGACAGTAGACAAGAAATATACTTTCCATTTTATCCTGATTGCTAGGAATCTTAGAACTAACTGTTGGGCTTTTGTCTTTTATTATCTTTGTTTGTGTGTGTTTATATGGATGCATATATTTTTATTCTAACGTACTACAAATAATTTTTAGCACTTAACTTGGTACAAACAAACATACAAATAAAGATGTGAGAAATATTTTGGTTTTATAACAGATGTTCATTTTTAAAACATTCTTTGTTAATATGTTTTATTAAAAATGTCTTAAGACAGCTCCCTTTTTCCTCTCTTGGCAACTGATATGATTAAGTCAAGGTTATATTAATTTCTCTTTATATTATTTTTTTCTTCTTTCTCCTCTTAAGAAACTTTCTCTTCTTTTGAAACTATTTTTTTTAAAAAAATGGTATGTGCTATAGTGAGCGCTGTGAATTGTGTAAGACTGATGAATCACAGACCTGTATCTCTGAAAAAAATAATACATTATATGTTAAAAAAGAAGAAGATAGTAGGAAGGGAAAATGAAGGGGGGGTATCAGAGGGGGAGATGAACCATGAGAGACTATGGACTCTGAGAAACAAACTGAAGGTTCTAGAGGGGAGGGGGGTGGGGGGATGTGTTAGCCTGGTGATGGGTATTAAAGAGGGCACATTCTGCATGGAGCACTGGGTGTTATACGCAAACAATGAATCATGTAACACTACATCAAAAACTCATGATGTAATGTAAGGTGATTAACATAACATAATTTTAAAAAATGGAGATATTTTATTATTTCAGCCTAAGGGATATTTTAGTGCCATCACTACTACTGACAATGAACAAAGTTTGCGTGTCTTGCTGAGGCACCATAGTTGCAATTAATCGTAAGTTGAATGTATATGGTGGTTTCAGTTTAATTCTTTTTTTTTAAGATTTTATTTATTTATTTGACAGAGAGACAGCGAGAGAGGGAACACAAGCAGGGGGAGTGGGAGAGGGAGAAGCAGGCTTCCTGCCAAGCAGGGAGCCCGATGTGAGGCTCGATCCCCGGACCCTGGGATCATGACCTGAGCTGAAGGCAGACGCTTAACGACTGAGCCACCCAGGCGCCCCTCAGTTTAATTCTTAATGGGGCTATACTGTACATAATAAAATTACCACAGAGAATTGATGAGTAGCATTTAATTAGCAGAAGACAGCCTAATCTTAAAGACTACAATATCTAATTTTTCAAAGACATAATAATTCTTAAGAAAAACACAAAGCATGGGAGAAATATAAAGTGAAATACTTACTTAGACTATTTAAGCACAGAACATAAGGGTAAATGGAAGGGAGGCTATTGACCTTGGAAGTATTCCTGGACAGTAGTAGTTAAGAGCAAATTGAGGGTCTGGCTGCCTGGTCTCACCTCCTATCTTCTCTAACTTAGCTTTGTTTCCCACATAGCAGAACCTGAAGCACTGTTGAATCACAGACCTGTACCTCTGAAACAGATAATACATTATATGTTAAAAGAAGAAGAAGGAGAAGGAGAAGGAGAAGGAGAAGAAGAAGAAGAAGGCAGGAGGGGAAGAATGAAGGAGGGAAATCGGAGGGGGAGACGAACCATGAGAGACTATGGACTCTGAGAAACAAACTGAGGATTCTAGAGGGGAGGGGGTGGGGGGATGGGTCAGCCTGATGATGGGTATTAAAGAGGGCAAGTACTGAATGGAACACTGGGTGTTTTGTTTTCTTGTTTTTTTAAAGATTTTATTTATTTATTTGACAAAGAGAGACACAGCGAGAGAGGGAACACAAGCAGGGGGAGTGGAGAGGGAGAACCAGGCTTCCCGCTGAGCAGAGAGCCTGATGCAGGGCTGAATCCCAGGACCCTAGGATCATGACCTGAACTGAAGGCAGAGCTTAATGACTGAGCCACTCAGGTGCCCCAGCACTGGGTGTTATATGCAAACAATGAATCATGGAACACTGCATCAAAAACTAATGATGTAATATATGGTGATTAACATAACAATAAAAAAATTAAAAAAAAAACTAATGGTGTAATGTATGGTGATTAACATAACATAAAAAAAAAAGAACCTGAAGCAATGTTTTCAGCACCATCCACTACTTTACTTAGAAACAGAAGTGAGGGAAAAGAGAAATAAAAGAGGGAGAGCAAATATAAGAATGTGTTACTAAGCTGGCCATCACTTAGTGTCAAGATGACTAAAACTCCTTAGATTATCATCCAAAAGATAAACTTTGCTCGGGACGTTTATTCTGAGGTTTGGAGTAGAATTTATCCACTGGATCCCATCTTTTAATGATCACATTTCACCTACTAGATTGTGATTTCATTTACATTTCTGGGTTGGATATGTGGTGGCCTTGAATATACCCACATCTCATTCTTCAGGGAACAGGAGAGTGCCAAAGTAGGAGATAAATGGTTTTCAGAATATCCATGGGATAAGACACAATTGGATTATACCTGCTGAAGGTGGTATAATCCCACACACAGTGGGTTATCAGTATAGTGGCTTAGTTTGGAGCAAAGAGTCAAGGTCATCAGATAGTGAGGTTGAGATAATCTCCAGTAGTACATGAGAAGTGTCTGTCTGACCAGTCTTCAGATCTACTGATGCTCTCCTTAATATTCAGATACTGAATATAACATGGTACCTCCATATTTGTAGGATGTCCTCACTTCTTTCCCAAGAGGTGAGGTACATTTCCAGTCAGTCACGAAATTTCATTTAGGGACATCATCTCCTTTAAACCAATTCATCTGTGAAGCAGTCCTCATATTATTTTTATTCTATATGGATTGTTGACAGGAAATACTCCCAGAAGGCCATAGGTATAACCTTGAAGGAGAATGTCAATGCAGTTGAGGTTAATGATAAGGGAATTCTGACCATGCGTTCATCTGATTTTCTCATGCTTTCTAGATCTGCTCAAATCAAAACCCATATACCATTTGTATTGTACGATGGGTTACTGCTTTATACTCCCAAACTTATGACTCAGCAGGTCTAATAATACCTAAGTTAGGATGAGGAAGTGTGGTTACACAGACATCTGGCATCCCATGGTCAGGATCTTTCCATACTAGGACCTAGTAGAATACTAGAAGTTTTCTTTTTTTTTCCCCAATGAAAATTAATTTGTTAGATGTAGAAAGCCTGACTTTGCTCTCCAGTCTATGATTCTACACATCAATTTTTCTTATGGGGGCTTGCCAGAGATTCAATATAGCATTTTAAATATACCATAGATACCTCTAGCACTATCAGATCTTCTGAGTCACATACTTTGAATGATAGAGCAGCTTGCACCATAGTCTTGACTTTGCAGAATACTTTCTTGCTGTTAAGTTCTGCCAAAAAGTGTCATTTTATGAGTCATTCAATAAATGGCTCATACAGTATTTTAAAGTATGTTACATATGCTGCCTCAAAAAATCCAAAGAGGCCCACCAACTACTATAAGTAAGAAATGTAAGGTGCATTAAATTTTTATTCATCTTAGCAAAAATGTTCTGATATGCTCTAGTTGACTTAAACCCCTAAGGTATTTCCTGATATGACAGGATCCTGCCTCTTCAACAAGATTTTTCTTCACTCTGGAATTCTGCTATCTTCCTAGGGCTTATAGAACACTTGTTATTTCCTGATTATAGGGTCTAATTAGCATGATACATAATTATAGTAACCCAACATGATGTTTTGCAGAATAACAATAGGATCAGTGTTCCTGCAGAACATATCATGAGCATGAGAATTATTTAACATAGCCCTCTGACAACCGGTGAATGCTGTCCCTATTACACTATCCCTACTATGTGATGGCAAACTAGTTTTGGTCCTCCTTTCTGTTGGATCAAGAAGAATGTAATTGCCAAATAAATTCATGTGTCAAGTGCCAGGGGAATGTGGTATTGCATCAATAAATATAACATATTAAGCATGCAGTTGCACTTGGGGCTATAACTTAGGTAAGTAACGTAGTCATTCCATAGCCATCTATCAGTCACGATCAATTTAAAAAATATATTATTTATTTATTTGAGAGAGAGAGACAGAGAGCAGGAGAGAGTCAACACAAGAGAGGGGAAGGGCAGAGGAAGAGGCAGGCTCCCTGCTGAGCAGGGAACCCGATGTGGGGCTCCATCCTAGGTTCCTAGGATCAAGACCTGAGCCAAAGGCAGACTCTTAACTGATTGAGCCATTCGGGTGCCCCGGGATCAATTTTTTTTATTGACTTTCTTCTAACAGCCTAGTAGATGAATTGAATGGGAATATCATAGGAACCACTACTCCTATTTTCTTTAAGTATTTGACGGTGATGCTATCATTATAATTCCTGCAATATGGTATTACTTTTATATATTCTCCAGGACAGAAGAGAACTTCTAGTTGGCTTTTTGTGTGTATGTGTGGGGGGGGGGAGCAGGGGGGTTAATATGGAACACTTCATGGATTTGCATATCATCCTTGCGCAGAGGCCATGCTGATCTCTGTACCATTCCAATTTTAGTGTATGTGCTGCAACAATAAGCACAGGGCTGTTTGCTTGTTTGTTTGTTTGTTTACCAAAATGGTTCTTACTCCACAGATCATAGATCTATGTGAGGATTCTGTCAGGTGTTAGGTATATCAGAATTCATTTACCCAACTGGGGACCTGGGAAATAACTGTAGAATAGTTGAATGGGCATGTTAGAAACCCTGCATTGTGACACAGTCTTGGGCCAAAACTCTACCTATCATCAGGCATGCAAGGCCTCTCTATTCCTGGTATTTCAGTTCCTCCATTATCAGTCTCAATTCAGAATCTTTATTTATCAATCTCTAATTCCTGTTTCCAACTATACAGTTATATTAGTATTGGCCACATGTACTTTTTGGAAAAGATCAGGGAAGTATTTATCTAATTTACTTGCAGTAATATGGCAGAGTTCATTCTCAAAGGGACCTGGATTCCCCTTCAACCAATAGCTTTATGGTCTGTGAACTGACTTAAGTTTGGAATTTTTGTGAGGAACCACAACTTTCCTTTTTGATGGCTGATGCCAGTTATCAGTTCAAAAGTTATCATCTTATTTATTTATTTATTTATTTATTTATTTATTTATTTATTTTCTTTTTTATAGGTCAAGAAACACACTACTCCATTTATCTATCTTTTCTCTATGACATGATGATCTATTGCCATTATCACAGACATGTATATCAAGGCACCCTGACTTCCACTATAGCTATATTAGCTATTAGAGTAATTACATCTTTCTTGCCTCTGAATATTAAGTGCTTCCACCTATACTTTTCTATTTCAGAATCCAATTATTCCTTACCCTCGAGAGAGCACACTTTCATGACATCATCTTCCACGGACATTCAATCCTATGGAGGACAGGAAACATTAAGTTGGTTTTTCCTTCATGCCCTAACAATGTTTCCATATTGCATTACCCCAATGAAGGAAATGGACTCTTTGAATACTATGGGAAAATAGTTTGATGGTACATTCTCAAGTTGTACATCACAATCCATCTTAACATCTCTATTCCTTGAGAATTTCTTTCTCCCTTCATATTTTGTCAAGGAAGAACTGACATTCCCACCTCATTCACTGTAGGCTAAGATTATATTCAGGCTTCAAGGAGTCACCTCAACAGATTCTGGAGATTGACTCTACTTCATGTATTGACTCTCATTTTATGACTGAGTGGCTCAAATTCAATAAATTCTCCCACATCATTGTGTTTGCTGTGGTGTGTTTCTCAGTTCTGTATTCAAGACTGAGGTATGATTTTCCCCGGCTCTTGCAAGTGCTGGTCAATGCTTCACAGCTGAGTCCGTTTCTGAGTCTTGCCTTTGGCCACAGAGAGCTGCCTCAACAAGTTTTTCTCCCACCAGTGGTCAGCGCACATAAATGAACTGAACTGCTCTATGAAGCAATCCACAAGCCCTTTCCCTTGATTTGACTTCAGACAAATTAGGTGGTCCAGATCTCTCCGTGGGATTGACTGAGACCTCTTCTTCAACTGTATCACAGCAGTTTAGTTTCTCCCTTGGCCCAATCCTGTTCTCATCAGCAAACAAGTGATATTTCCAACAGCACTTTTCAGTAAAAGCTTGTATGCAAATCTCCATCTCAGAGTCTATTTCCCAGGGAAGTCAACCCATGCCAAACAATATTTTACAACCATGTTCTGACACTTTTAGGATCTACTACCACAATTATCCCACAGTTCCTATCCTGTACATGTCAATCAGTTCTGTCAGGTGTTAGGTATATCAGAATTCATTTACCCAACTGGGGACCTGGGAAATAACTGTAGAATAGTTGAATGGGCATGTTAGAAACACTGCATTGTGACACAGTCTTGGGCCAATCGGTGATTAAATAACTTTGTCCTGGAGGGAGTACTGATTCCCTTGCTTTGTAAGGGGACTGGAAATCAGTGTTGACCGGGCAGCTACTGAAGAGCACAAGCAATATTTTGGAGGCATCTGCCTCTGTGAGGTCTTCACATTTGCTCCAAGCTAGAAAAACTGCTGTCTTCTGTCAAGGGGGAGAAACTCTTTCTGCTTTTGTTCAGGGGAATATGGAGTTCAAAATTCTCAGTTCTGTCCAAAAACAACCCCCATCTCAATTCTCAAAAGCTTACTCTTTCCCAACTGCAATCCTACACTAAATAGATGAGATCTCTCAAGGGAACATAGTTGGTCTCCTTTGTATTTCTTTCACATTTAAAATTGAATCTTGGGTCTGATTTTCTGCAAAGTGCCCTCTACTCATACATGTTAAGGCTCTGCATAAATGAAGCCATACAGGGCCTCTGGCTTTCACAGAGTGCCTCAAGTTGGCAGTTGAATACTCTAAGCCTATAATTTTTTCCTTCAAAGATTCCAGTATCTTTAACAAAAGCCAGCCCCGTCCACAGTCCCTATAATTATCATTGTCCCATACCATATAAGCATACAGCCACTGCATATCCTAAGGCCTTATCTTCCACCTGTACCTTATCCCAATTAACCACAAGGGAAAGCCTTAGTAATAGCGATGTCATGGTATGCCAGAGCTAATCATCAGCCCCTGTAACACTAGCAAAGGTATCCTTATTGCAATGAGATTGGTCAGTAATGCAGCTTTAATAAATTATCCTAAGGATCCACTTTCTAGGGCCATTGCTGATAGCAACTGTCTTAGACTGTTTCTTAGAAACAGAGCCTGAAGCAAAGACTTAGGTGTTAATGCTTTCTTCAGGAGTATGATCTTTGGGAGCAGGGGTGAGGACAAAGGAAAGTGAGACAGGGAAAAAGAGAGAGTTGATACAGGGGTGCAATCCCAACCTAACCACTGAATAGTATTCAATGTGATTGATTCCTTTATCTCATGGGAGTATCTCCCAAGAGGGCTTATTAATGACTGCTCCTCTTCTTATTTTCTTCTTGGGGCTATTTCCTGTTGGTCAAAGCTTCACCTGCAGGATTATGATTTCTTCCTACTTCTAGGTTGCTTTGGTGTAAGCACCAGATGCTCCCATGGAATCTGATGGCTCAGCATTAACAGGAAGTCTGGGGAAAGGGCAAAAGTTGTACATAGGGTCTATGAGGAGAAGAAAAATAATGCTGAATTTGAATTTGGTCAAAATCCACACAAAGGGGATTTCTGTGGCTGTGCCTGAGGGTGCAAAATTACCCAAATGCCTTTGGAACAGGTAAAGCAAAGAAGATATGAAAGGATATTTAAATGTCATCTGATAAAACTACTAACTTTGTAACTTTTTATATATATTTTAATTTTTATTGTTATGTTAATCATCATATATTACATCATTCATTTCTGATGTAGTGTTCCATGATTCATCGTTTGTGCATAACACCCAGTGCTCCATGCAGAACGTGCCCTCTTTTTTTTTTCAATTTTTTTATTGTTATGTTAATCACCATATATTACATCATTAGTTTTTGATGCAGTGTTCCATGATTGATTGTTTGTTCATAACACCCAGTGCTCCATGCAGAACGTGCCCTCCTCAATACCCATCACCAGGCTAACACATCCCCCCACCCCCCTACCCTCTAGAACCCTCAGTTTGTTTTTCAGAGTCCATCATCTCTCATGGTTCGTCTCCCCCTCTGACATACTCCCCTTTTCTTCCTCTCCTGTTATCTTCTTCTTTTCCTTTTTTCTTAAAATATGTTGCGTTATTTGTTTCAGAAGTACAGATCTGTGATTCAACAGTCTTGCACAATTCACAGCGCTCACCGTAGCACATACCCTCCCCAAAGTCTATCACCCAGCCATCCCATCCCTCCCACCCCCAACCACTCCAGTAACACTCAGTTTGTTTCCTGAGATTAAGAATTCCTCATATCATTGAGGTCATGTGATACATGTTTTTCTCTGATTGACTTATTTCACTCAGCATAACACCCTCCAGTTCCATCCACGTCGTGGCAAATGGCAAGATCTCATTCCTTTTGATGGAGAACGTGCCCTCTTTAATACCCATCACCAGGCTAACCCATCCTCCCACCGCCTTCCCCTCTAGAACCCTCAGTTGGTTTTTCAGAGTCCATCTTCTCTCATGGTTCGTCTCCCCCTCCGATATCCCCCCTTTCATTTTTACTTTGTCCCTTTGTCTCCGTTGTTTCCTCTGTAACATGGAACTGATAATTGCACTATCTTAATTGTTTGCTCTATGAATTATAAGATATCTTATTTGTAAATATTTGTTTACACTTCTTAGACCATAAATTAAGTATTAACTATTGTTGCTATTTCTGTGAAGGAAAATTTTGGCAACCTAGTTGAAACTTGAACTATCTCTAGTTATTATTTAATCCTTTTGTAAAACACTGTGCATATAGAGTATCAGAAAAACATTTGCTAGAGGAATTTGGGGTATTTTAGGTCATTAACCAGTGAGGGAAATAGTCATTAAATTCTGGGCCTGAATTGGTTTCTTATTTTTACTTAAAAATAAAGATAACCAGCTTGCAAGATAACCAATATAAAAGAAAATAACATCTTTTTCCTTCTTTTACCATTTTCATAGAAATAGAAAAACCCAACCATACCTTTTTCTAGATTCAATTTGTAGTAAAAATGATTGTAGACTAGTATGTTTGGAGACTCTTTCAAGGTTAAGACACCTCCTCATATGCACATCATAGTAGAGATCAGATAGTTTTGCCTTCTTGATATGCAGTATGTATTCCTTCTCCTATCAACAAGTTAATTTACTCTTGAGAAACATCTGTCCCATTACTGGGTTAAGTTAGTTAGGAAAGCTAACCTCATTCTTGGATCCAGGGGTGAAATGTGATGCTGATCTGGCCAATCCACATGTTCAGTCTCTCATAGTGATTGACTATCACTTGTCGGCCTTTTGGCTAAGACCAAGTATAGTCTCATGATCTTTGGGAGCAGGGGTGAGGCCAAAGGAAAGTCTCATATTGATTGACTCAGGAAGGATTACATGACCTGAGGCAGTACAGTGAAGACCAATCTCAGTATCTGTTGGAGACATGAGTATCAGAGTTATTC